TCTCTGTGTAGCTTTGCAGCCTGTCCTGAAATTAGTTCTTGTAGACCAGGCTGGCCTCGAATTCACAGAGATCCGCTTGCCTCTGCCTCCCAAGTGCTGGGATTAAAGGCATACAGAATCATTACCCAGCCTAAGATGTAACTTTGGAAAAGTTTCTCATGGTCAAGTCTGGTTCTTTCTCACTGTTGTGTGCAATCTTGGTTCTCGTAGCTGTCTAGATCAACATGGGTTCTCCATCACCCACAAACATCTATGACCTCCTTAAATTCATGCTTTGCAAGCCATATATAACTTCTTACTAAATCTGTAATGAATCCTTTATTTAGTCACTGAAAACAAAAGCCAGCACAAAATCTATTTAGACAACCTCTATTGTATCTTGCTTGAGAGGCCATAGATGCTGTGGTCACCAAGAAAGGCTGCTGCCAGGTTTCTAGGCCTTTTTGCCTCTGCTTCACTGACCTCAAAGAACAAATCACAAAAACATACCTCACTGCAGCCATGCCATGAGCCGATGCAGATAGAACTTACGTGTGCTCATTTGTCAAGTATTTATTAAGGCCTGATTATTCCAAGCATCAGAAATACAAAGGTACACGAATACGATGATAATCCTTGTTATTGGGACCACAGTCTTAGTGATAGACAGGAGGTCCTGCCAGTGTCCAACAGGAAGGGCTGGAGGCTGCCCTGTACTGTGGGAACAAAGCCATTACTTCCAATGCAGGTTCTGTTTACTGTGCCAAGGAAGAGCTGTTAAATAACTAAACCAAGATGTTTGAGAAGGCAACATTTGAGCAGAGTACTGAATGACCAGCATTGTGCTCACAAGTAGGACAGGACTGGAGGACTGGACAGGAAAGGGTGTGAGGTCAAGAGAGTCTCCTTATCAGTGATGCCTGAAGGATGAAGTCGGGCACAGAGCCTGCACCTGCACTGAGCCAGGTGCAGGAGGCAGGGGACTGGGGAAGTACTTTAGGCCAAAGGCATATGCAAAAGTCCACAGAAGGAGGAGACGTGAGAAGTTGAGCATAGAAGTAGTTAAACTATCACCAGGTGTTTGCCTGAAAACTTAAGTGTTTGTGAGTGTTCACGTTTTGTGTTTATGTCTTCCGAGTCTGACTGATATACCCCTCCTAATGCTCTGGACAGCTTGCAGAGCATGCCACCTGGTGGACAGAGACGACGTCACAGCGCTTAGCTCCAGAGTCCCAGCATCCAGGATATTATTCAGTGAGCTAAGCAGTCAGATGGAGCTGGTTGTGGTGGCCCACACCTACAACCTCAGCACCAGAGAGGAAGGGGATGAGGAGTTCAAGGCCAGCCTTGGTTACCCGGGCTTCTGTCTAAACTTAAAACAAACAATAATGTGGATGGAGAGTGGATCAGCACCCACATGGTAGCTCAAGCATCCTTAACTCCAGTGCCAGGAGTTGGACAGCCTCTTCTGACCTGTGTGAACCAGACACATGTGTGCTATACATACATACAGACAAAATGTTCATATTCATAAAATTTAAAAATCTAAAACTAAAATACCTTGATGTTCTTTATTCCTGTTATCGTGGTTGTTAAAGATTTATGTTTAATTATGTATGTGGGTGTGTGCATGTGAATTTGGGTGCACATGGAGGTGCCCAACATGGGTGTTCAGAACTGAACTTGGGTCCTCTGCAAAATCAGTAATTGCTCTTAACTACTGAGCCATCCCTCCAGCTCCTCAGATGTATTTTTAAGAAAAAAAAAGTTAAGGAAAATGCTCTCCTGTATGAAAGAAAACATGAAAGAGAGGGGAGAAAAGGACAGGCCCCCACTACAGCTGTGCTAATGCTGTACACAGGGATCACCTGAACTCCTCCAAACTTTGCACATGAACCCCACTTTATAGTGGAGACGGCTTTCAGGCCTGGTGAACTCATTTACTTCACACTCCTCCTGTCAGGGTTTCTTTATCAATCAATAAAGGGTAAACAAGGAGGCATTAAAACATTTCCCGGTTTGTGCTGTTTATGCTTTTAAATGTAAATATGAAATTGGAATGCTCAAGGCCCCGTTCAGTGCCCAGAAGAACCTCAGGGACACACTTCCATCTGTCAATCCCCCACACAGATGGTGCAGACACCCATAGTGCAAGGGACATACTTTTCAAAGTCAAGAAGTTGGTGTGCATTTCTAACAACATTTTATTACTCCCAGTTGAGGAGGGCAGCTTTATAAATGCAATTTAGATGCAGAAATGTTGGGTTTCTCAGAACTAGTTTTTGGAATTGACATAATCCTTTTAGAGTTGAAACTATCTTAGGAAAAGTCTAGAATAAGCAAAAGTATGAATAATCCTGAAAAGTATGACAAGTAAGAATAATCCTGAAGTATAATTTATATAGCACAGCACAATCAAGTGTGAACATTATGCTTTCCCATGGTATTTTACACACTTGAATTTTTTATTGTTATAGCATTCAACACAGGAGCAAGAGTTAAAAATGGAGAATTATGAAGCTTTTGCTGACTGGTCTAACACGAGGCTGTGAAGAGTTACTGAAGATATAATGTCCACCAGCTGTTTCTCCTCCGCTGGGGTCAATGTTCTGGGAACAAAGTACCAGCAACTTGGAGAGAAGAGGAATTAGTATTGAGATGGATGGACCGTGGGGGAGCTGGGAAGTCACAGGACAGCTAGTTCAGCACAAGCAAAAGTATCACCCTTGGCTGTCTAAGAATTAAAGGGCTATCTTTAGACAGGAGCTGCCAACACCCTCCTGGGTCTGCTCGCGTCTCTCTAGTGGTGAGGAGCGTGAAGGAATGTTAAATGTGGTCTCTACCTCCAGGAGGCTTATACCTCTCTATAGGTCTTCAAGGAAATCTCTATTTGGGCTGAGTGGCCCCGGTAGGCTTTATATAGAGAAAGGTGGGGCTGCTAATGACTGATCCGAGCAATGCATTTGGGACACATGGACTGAAGGGAAGACATTCCAGGTAATGGCAGCTACAAACCCCAAAGTCCCCTTTGGTTTATTCTGAACTGAAGCTACACTTTTACAAGGAAGGGAAGACTACCGGAAAGACACGCAGGAGCAAGCTGTTTCATTTCTCTCTCCCTCTAGCTTTCTCGTCTAGTGTAATTATATGCTGGTTTCCAGACAAGCTACAGAGGGAATGCACACTAAGATAAACACATCAATCAAACAACAGGCAGGCGACTGAACATGCCCGTGACACCAGCACTTGGAAGAGCAAGGGCATCCTGGGTTACACAGGAAACTAAAGGCCAACCTGGGTTACACGAGAGAGACCTTGCTTCCAAAAACAAACAGACCAAACCAAACCAGACAACAAGCATGTATGGTCTTGTTGAGAGGTTTCTGAGACAGAGAAGGTTAGAGTCATATACTTAGGAATATATGCAGACAGGTAATTTAAAAAAGAGGCATGAGGGGCTGGAGAGATGGCTCCGTGGTTAAGAGCATTGCCTGCTCTTCCAAAGGTCCTGAGTTCAATTCCCAGCAACCACATGGTGGCTCACAACCATCTGCAATGAGGTCTGGTGCCCTCTTCTAGCCTGCAGACATACACACAGACAGAATGTTGTATACATAATAAATAAATAAATAAATAAATAAATAAATATTTTTTTAAAAAGAGGCATGAATCTGAAGGAGAGCAAGGGAGTGTATATGGGAGGGCTTGGAGAGAGGAAAAGAGGTAGCAATACAACTGTATTATAATCTCAAAAAAAGAAATCATTTTTAAAAAATAAAAAGAGGCTTTTAGTCTGGAATTATTGCCAAGAAAGCAAATTAATTAACGAGTGGATTATTTGAAACAATATTTGTCAAGCACTTGGCTTCTCAGTGTTGGGACGATGAAGGGACACTTCTCAAAAGACACACAGAAGGGTGTAGAATCCAGGATGCTTCTAACATAAACTGATTATGATTCCTTTCTATAAATAAGCATTGGATATGAATGTTTACGGGATTTTAAAGTACGTCAAGACGAGAGGCGCTGAGGGCTGGTGAAGTGACTCAGGGGTTAAACCACTTGCTTCCAAAGTGACTCAGGGGTTAAACCACTTGCTTCCAAGCCTGGGATTCTGTCCCGGCCCAACTACTGAAAACTATTCTCATGAGCCAGTTAAATGAATAAACACAATAATTATTTTTAAAGATATGCATCAGAAAGACTGTTCAGTGATTAAGAGTGGGTACTGCCTGAATTCAGTTCCCGGCACCCTTGTCGGGAGGGCTTATAACTGCCTGTCATTCCAGTTACAGGGGTTCCAATGACCTTGGCAGGCACTCAACTCACACACATACAAGACACACATAGAGGTTGGTTGTGATGGCACATACCTTTAATTCCAGCACTGGGGAGGCAAAGGCACAGGAAATTTCTGTGAGTTCTAGGCTAGTCTGGTCTACAGAGAAACCCTGTCTCAGAAAAAGCAGATATACACTTTTAAAAATAACACACACACACACACACCAGGCATCTATTTCACCACCGTAGGGAAAAGTGTATGTTAAGGAAACCTTGGGGAGACTTTCAGAAAACCTACTCACATACCTCCATAGGCAGTATGACTAGTTTTGTTTTTAATCAGAGCATTTGAGTAGAGGAGGATAGGAAACAGCAAAAACCACGAGAAACAGAGAAACTGCTCTTCACTAAGAAGCATTACTCAGGGTGTCTAGAGACACATGGTGGCAGCTGGGCTCCCTAGACTCTGCCCCTGTTCATGGAGACTGAGCTAAACACTGTGAGGCTACGGAGCCACACGACCACTTCCAATTCACTTTTGTGGGCTTCTCCCGGTTGGAAGTGATGTCTACGGCCTATGAACCGTCTGCGGCAACGCTACAGAAGGAATCTACATGTAGGGCAAATACATAATTAAATACACGTGAAAGCACACGACGGTGAATTCAAAGCGGAGAGGGAGCATGTGCGCCCCTTCTGGTGAGAAGTAAACCATATGACAGTTCTAACGTGCTCCTCACCCGCAGCAGACCGCATCTGGCTTTTACTCTTCTGGTTTGAGGATGCTCCGTCTTTCTGGTCCCCTGATAGAGGCACTCACATGATGGGGGAGGTTGTTCGTTTTCAATCTTCTCTCATGTGCTGGGATTAAATGAGCCTGGGTCCTCTGTAAGAACGAGAAATGCTCTTAACCACTGCACCATCTCTCCAGCTGTTTTTTTAAGCCCTGCTTTGGTAGAGTCCGAGGTAGAATTTGCTCAGTGTGTCACCATCAAAAGGATATTCTGCTCACAGGATATGCTTTAAAAAACTGAAAGCCATTCACGCGTCTCCCAGTCATGTTCTGGCCTTACAAAGGGTTAGGAAAACACGCTTCGAGGTTTGAATGTTACTCTCCTTCTGCGTCCTTTTCCATCAAGCGCCGGTTTCTAAAGCACTAAAAGAATAAGTTCAAGGACAATTTTATCTTTTTAGTTCATTTTCTTCCACTGAGAACATAAGCAGGCCACGCCAAGCTAATGCTCCCACCTCAGGGTTCAAAGATCCCTTCCCACCTTCACTTTCACCGTCCTCACCCAATTGGCAGCTGCTCGGAAGGCCACACCTTCTCACTGGCCATCCAGAACACCGTTGGAGGCGGAAGCCTTACCTTATCGGTGACTGGTTATTCTGAGGAAAACCTCGTGTGAAATGTGGGACATCAGCTACTTCTGATTGCTCATCTGGAACTTTCAAAGACAGACAGCAGTTCAGACACACACTGACAAAAACAGGGAACAACCACATCAATTTTCAGAAGATGGGAAAGAATTCTGAAGTAAGACTTGACAGAACTGTCTGCAGATAGTGCTCTTTAGAGACCCCGGATGACACGCACAGACGTGGGCAGAAACAACACATCTGCAGAGCTGGCGGGCGGAACTGCTCGCCAAAAAGAGATAAATAACTTTACAATGACGTGCTGGGCCGCAATTACATAAACAGAAGAAAGTACTAGGACCTAAGCCTACAAGTTTTGTGGGTTTCAAGGCCTTACGCAATCAATAGTCTGACATCTGTCACGCAAATTTGTTTCTACGATGCTGATGCCAGAAACCAAGGGATCAACATTACTTGATGACTTTTGTTCAGATTCTGAAACAAACACAGTTGGGTTCTTTAGAATAACAATCCTTGAGCCACTTTTTATTTCTCTTTTCTTAATTTGGGCCATTAAGAAAAACACAATCATCTCCTTATTAGGCAAAGTTTCATTAGGAAGGCTTGGGGTACGGCCTGTTTCAAAAACCAGCACTTGTATCTTATGTTAATAGTTCTAAATGTCTAAAGGCCTATTAAAGGAAAACAACCTCAACAACCTGAAGTTCAAGCAGCAAGAATTTTTAAAAAGCTGGCCATAAGAGTAGTCAAATATTCCAGGAACTTTTTTAATAGGAAAACGTTCAGTCACTTTGAGACAGGCCTGTGCCACCATGTGCAACAATCTTAACCTTTCCTTAGGAATGACTGTCCTGAGATGGTGTTAACCACGAGGAACTGAGATGACTCAGTCAGTAATGTGTTTGTCACTTGAGCATGAGGACCTGAGTTCGGACCCCCGAACCCACATACAAGCCGGGGTCTCAGTGGTAAGCATCAGTAATCCCAGCACATGGGCAGATCCCTGGGGCTTGCTGGTGACTAGCCCCACTATATTGGTGAGCTCAAGGTTAGCTGAGAGCCCCTGTCACAAAACATAAGGAAGACATCTGATGTGAACAACACCCCAACACACACACACCCTCTCTCTCATTCACACACGCACATACATCGCCACACATACAGATTCCTTACTAATCTTGATAAATGTGGTGGGGATGTTTCTGTAAAGTTGATGCAACAGCCTCCAGATTCCCTGGAAACTAACTTGCAATACTGACTACCTTAAGAAGTTACAACAGCTCTGGATTCTAAATTTTCCGAGACTGTTGATCCTTCTCTTTTGGTAAATTCTTTTACCCTCTGACTGATAGTCAGCTTGGGAGTCAACATTGTAGCTGGGTTAGACTTCAGTCTGATTATTGAGACAGTGTTTTACATTTTGAAAAGTCTGGTAATTAGACTAAAGAGTACATTGCTACAGACACTGTTTTCTTCTCCAGCTTCACTCGGTGAGGCCAGTATCTGTACATCTATTATCCTCTATGTAATGGAGGAGGACTGCACATTAATCTCAGGAGTAAAAATAATGTTATTTATAGACAAGGAATTCCTACGACTAGTAGCCTTTAAGTTACCCACCCACTTGGGCATGGCCTCTTATACTATAAATGCCAATGTAAAGTGCATCCGGCCTCTTTTCCAGCTGCGGAATTTGGTTGCTGTTCCCCATTTCAGCAAAGGACTGGGATCTGTGAGTCTACCCCTAAATAAATAACCCTCTATTATACTCAATTCTGAGCTAGTGTGGAATTTCTTTTTAGCATCCTTCTTCATCTGGTGCCCCATGTGGATCCAAATTCTACACCTACTGTATGGATCGGCTTAAAGGCCTAATCGGTCCACAGCCCAGAAAGTCTCCCACCCCCACCCATTTGGCTTGCTTTTACCTACTAAGTGGGTTTTTTTTGTAAAACTCTCAAAACAGTGGAGCTAACTGTTGCAGCGACTTGGAAATTTCCCAAGTGCACACACACCCCACCCCCACCTCACCCCCACTGCCGCGTTAACTGCCCTGTGGCCACTTGTACAATTTCCAGTTTATACTCCCGGCTCCTGAGTTCTGGACTTCTTGCTCTGTGTACAGAATTGATTTAATTGCTTTAATTTGTCAAGCAAAGCATATTTGTTAGTATTTAACCAGCACCAAAGCAGGAAACCAAAGCCGCTCAGGACTGTTCATGGCACCAGGTTGTGCCTCTAGTCACAACTCTGCAACCATGACACCTGCTGGACAATAAAGGTTATTACACCTAAAACAATTTACTGGATTTCATAACAAGTAATTAGTAAATGAATAAACTCGAAAGTTATATAATGGCAGACAACATTACCATAGAAACTTTTAGTAACCTTTTTGCTAATACTATGGATTGTATTTTACAGGGCTTGTATGTTTATGGTGATATTTCCATTTATTGGACTTCGGGATTCAGTTTTTTATTCATATTATATCCTTAAGAAAATGGTTTGAGAACAGAACCAAGAATGAGGCAATTTTAGGAATGATACAGTCTTTACAGAGTAATAATGAACAGCTAGCTGACAGGATTAATACCACTGAAAATCAAAAGTTACTCAAAAAATAAACACTATTGAAAAGGGTAACATTAATTTGACAAAATTGAATCCATGTCAAAGGACACTGAAAAATTATCTGAAAGAATTCATACTGTTGAATTTGAAATCAAAATTTGTTAAAAAGTTATGATAGGTTAGCAGATAGAGTATCTCTCCAGGAAGGCAATCTGCACACTATCCAAATAATGTCCAAGGATGAGGTGTTATCTTTAAAGGAGAAATTTCAGACCTTGGAATCACATGTGCAGAATGAGGACCAGAGGCTAGGTGCCTCAATGAAATCATTAGAAATATATACAGGTCAGGAAATTTGGGCTTTACAAAAGGCAGTAATAAAGAGATTTGAAATGATTGAGGAAATTATTGGAGCTGTTGGACAGGGAGAGAAGGTACAAGGACAGGATTTAACATTGCCAGTAGCTGTCAGAGATGACTTACCCAGGGTTTTAGCATCCTACCTTGTAATCTACTCTGACAAAGCATCAAGTTCTAAAGGCCCAAAAGGATCCAAAGAAAGTAAATGAATACCTATAGGAATGAATGATCTAAAAGAAATTAAGCAAGGAATTGTAATTTATGGCTTGCATTCCGCATTTGTTAGGGAGATGATAAAGACATGAGCTTCTAGCATTAAAGCCATGCCACATGACCGGTTTTCAGTTAGTTTCAGTCCTGGATGATAGGCTTCAACTGATGTTTAAAAGCTATTTCAGAGAAAAGGCTAAAATTTTAGAACAACAGGGAAAAGCTAAAGGATTTGAGACTTCCCAAGATCAAATTCTTGGTGAGGGCCCTTATGCTGACCCACAAGCTCAAGCTCTTTACAATAAACAAATCTTGTTCCTATGCCACAAAGCAGCCTTAAGTTCTTGGGACAGAATTCAAGAACTAGGAAAACAAACTGAATCTTACACCAGGGTTAAACAGGGCCAGAGAGAATTCTTTAGTGACTTTTTACAAAGATTAACTAAGGCTGTACAAATAGGAGTAACAGACCCAGATGCTAGATGAGTACTTATTGAATCTCTGGCTTTTGAAAATGCCAACTTAAGAGTGCAAAAAGATACTTGGACCTTTAAAGGTTAGATCAGCACCAGTGGATGAATGGATCCTGCATACAATGAACATTGAGACATTTGACTATAATACTGAATCTTGGGTAGGAGAAGCAATTTTCAAAGGTATGAGGAGACATCAAAATGCCAAATGTTTTAATTGTGGTAGAATAGGACATCTGAGAAGGGACTGTAGACAAGAAATTACTAGGAATAATGTCTCCTCTAGGAATGGCAAGAATAGGAGGACTCAGCCTTCAGGTATATGTAGAAGGTGTGGCAAAGGCTGACATTGGACCAATGAATGCAGATCAAGACAGACAAACCAACCCAATACCATCGGGAAACTCCTTGGGGGGGGTCTCTCGCAGGCCCCCAAGGCAAAAGTGGCCCAGTCATTCCCAGTTACTGTGAAAGACATGTCTCACCAGGAATATTAAAATATCTAGAGCCTTCAGGAAAAAAAAACAAAAAAAAACATACTGTTCTACATGATGGAATAAACATGGAGGATAAATCAAAACTTCCAATAGGAAACAGGGAATGTATATTCTGACAGACTTCTATAAATCATCAAAGACCAAAGCTAAGTGTATAAATGGCATTGTAATTGTGGGCTTGGTAAACACAGGTGCAGATGTAAGTATCATTACTCCAGAATCTTGGCATCCAAATTGGCAGATGTTCAATTACTAGGACTTAGAACCCTACCTCAAGTGAAACAAAGCACAAGATGGTTTGGATGCATAGGGCCAGAAGGACAGAGAGGAAAGCTGAGGCCATATGTGGCTAATATTGCAGTGAATTTATGGGGTCATGACCTGCTGCAGCAATGGAATACCCAGATTAACATTCCTGCAGTACCAGAAACTCATAATTCTGGGAAGGATATTACAAGGTACTATACACAAAGGTCACCAGCCATTCAGGCTGTACAAGAACACAAAGCAACTAGCAAACCTTGAGAGGTACCATCAGTCCTACCTTTAAAATGATTAACTGAGAAAACAATATGGGTTAAACAGTGGCCTCTAGCTGAAGAAAAGTTGACGGCTTTAGAACAGCTGGTACAAGAGCAATTAGATGCTCACCACATTGAAGAATCAACCAGCCCTTGGAATTCTCCTGTACTTGTTGTTTAAAAGAAATCTGGTAAATAGAGAAAAGAGACATATCTAAGAGCTATCAATATGGTATTCAACATATGGGCCCTCTACAGTCTGGAATTCCTCTGCCTTCTCTGTTACCAAAAGGATGGCCTCTCATAGCTATTGATTTAAAGGATTGTTTTTTCACTATACCTTTACAAGAAAAGAATAGAGAAAATTTTCCTTCACAGTGTCTACTTATAATAATTCTCAGCCTACTAGGGGATATCAATGGACTATCCTCCCACAGGGAATGCTCAATAGCCCCACCCTGTGCCAACTTTGTCAGCCAGCCAATGGAAATAATACGTAAAAATTTTCCTACATCTATAATTTACCATTACATGGATGGCATTTTGCTATCTGATTCAAACATAGATACTTTAGAAAGAATGTTTGAAAAAGTAAAGAAAGTTTTGCCAAAATGGGGGTTACGAATTGTTCCTGAAAAAATAGAGAGGAGAGTCTGTCAATTACCTAGGAGAGATCGATTGTGGACTCTTAATGACTTTCAAAGATTGTTAGGAGATATTTCCAGTTTACGGCCAACTGTTGGGATAACACCTGATCTAATAACTCATCTAAACAAAACCTTAAATGGTGATAAAGACTTGAATAGTCCCAGAGAATTAACAGCTAAAGTGGAAAAGGAATTGAAAATTGTTGAGAAGAAATTACAGGAGGCACATGTGGATAGGGTGAATCCAAATCCTAATTGTATTCTAGTCATATTGCCTTCCAGAATTTCTCCAACAGGAATTTTAATACAGAGAGACAATATTATCTTAGAATGGATCTTTTTACCACATAAACCATGTAAAAAATTAAAAAGTTATGTGGAAAATGTCTCTGAACTAATTATAGAAGGTAAATTGAGACTTCATCAACTAGCAGGTATAGACCCAGCAGAGATTATAGTGCCTTTCACTACTGATGAAATAAAAAGCTATGGGAAGACAATGAACCATGGCAAAGAGCTTGTGCTAATTTTTTTGGGAGAAATTAATAGCAATTATCCCAAAAGCGAAACACTTAACCTTATAAGAGAACTTCTTGGATTCTTCCGCGAATTGTACATGATGCTCCAATAACTGATGCCCGTACATTTTATACTGATGCAAATAAAACAGGAAAGGCAGGGTACAAATCAGATTTAAGTAAGGTAGAACAAAGCCCTTATAATTCTGTCTAAAAACCAGAATTACATGCTATTTTCATGGTGCTAAGGGATTTTAAAGAAACTCTTAATATAGTTACTAATTCACAATATGCAGAAAGAATTGTTTTGCATATTGAAATCACTGAATTTATACCATATGATATAGAACTGACTTCATTATTCATACAGGTTCAGGATATAATCATGAATAGACTTTGTCATATATACATAACACACATCTGATCCCACACAGGTCTGCCAGATCCTCTAGCACAAAGTAATGCAAAAATTGATCAATTATTGATTGGAAGCGTGTTGCAGGCCTCAGAATTTTATAAAAAACATCATGTCAATAGCAAAGGTTTAAAGAAAGAGTTTTCTGTTACATGGCAACAAGCTAAGGAGATTATAAAGAGATGTTCTACTTGCTCTTATATAACTCGATACCACTAATGCAGGGACCAACTGAAAGAAATGAAATCTGGCAGATGGATATGTTCTATTTTACAGAATTTGGAAAATTAAAATATGTATGCCACACCATTGACACTTATTCAGGATTTCAGTGGGCAACTGCTTTATGCTCAGAAAAGGCTGATTCAGTAATCACACATCTATT